AATGGGTCTTTGAGGGTCTATGGGAAGTGAATTGGAGGTCTCGGTCCAGTGCCCAGAGAACAACAGGTCCACATGAGAAAAAAAACATCATTACATTTGGCAGTATTTGGTATAGGAGCCACAGGCTAGAACTGACTGCCAATTGAGAGTGAGCTTCCTTATCCTCCATAGAGGTGGTCCTTCCAGGCCAAGGTTGGGGCACGTTTGCAGGGCTGCATAAGGAAGCTTGGGTGGCTGCTGCCCACATTGTATAATGGGGTCTTTGTGCATGTTCATGAATATGGATACGTTGAATGCACTGTTAGAGCTGGGGGGAGGTGCAGGCCTGGAATAGGTACCAAACAGCTCTCGAACGGCAACAATGTTCAGTTGCTACAAACCTCACCTGCATGTGAGCTAGTGCTCGAGAGGAAAAGGCTCTGCATCTTGTTACCAATCACTGAAACCACCCAATCCCTCTTCTGGGGATTTCATTTCTTTCCCCCAAGCATCCTTCCAGAACTCACCACAGGTGCACGGATCTCTCCTTCCACTTCACCTGTAATATGTCCTCAGCGAATAGGTACCAACCAGCTTCCTCGCCATCTTCTTCCAATTGAGGTTTAGGTGGAGTCCTACTGTGAGCCGTGTCTCTGAGTTCTTCTAATAAAACACAAAGATTTACCACCTTGATGGCTGTAAAAGGCTCTGTTGCATCATCCAATCACAGTCCATTTGCCATCTCCCATTTCCTAAAGAAAGCTCTGCTGCATTCTATGCTTTGTAATCTAGGGCTAGCAGGTGGCAGATCTATAACCTGCCCCTCCCTCTTTTTACAGATAATGAAATCTCCTCCCCCTCCCAGAGCATGTCTTGTAGGCTTCTGCCCTCCACTTGCTCTGCTGTCTCTGTGTTCATACTACAGCAGCAAGCAAGAGAGGGGGGAAGAGATCTATTCATGAGCAAGTATACCTGCTCCTGTGGATGGGGTAGCTTTAAGTGATCCACACACCCAAACCCAGAGCAAGGAGAGCTCCGTAGGCACCAGGGGGCTGTTATACACACAGGGGCAGAGTAAGGAGCCTGGCTCGGGGCGGGGGGCTTAGGAAAGCACAGATCACCTGGCCACTAGAAAGAGAAAATAACCTTGCATGGTCCATGCATGAACAAACTTGCTTTATTGGCATTAACACACTAAAACTACTAAAGTGCGCTGAGATTTATGAACATAGGAACTGCCATATCACATCAGACTATTGCTCCATGTAAGCCATTATCCTGCTCCTGACTTGTGAGAACAGCTAATGCTGGCTGCTTCTGAGAAAGACAGAGCAGCCCCCCTCCATTGTGCTGTGCCAGATGTCAGGTTCTTCTGACCCCTGGCTTCCTTCCTGATTACCACGGCGATCATCTTATCCCTTGAAGTGTGAGCTTTGATTACCGTCATCACATCAGAGCTGGCTCTAAATCTGGTGAAATTCACAGATAGTATCCCAGGTAGATTTTCATCACCTGCATATCTGAGGTGGGGAAAGGAAGGGTATCCAGTCCAGGGTGACCAGATAGCAAGGGTGAAAAATCAGGACGGGGGTGGGGAGTAATTGGCACCTGTATAATCCAATCTGACCCATACATGTTATGGGGTTGATGGTATGAGAAGTTTTAGCAGCTGTGATGGGGGTGGCTGGGGTCCTTGTCCCAGGCAGGGAGGTTTTGGGTACTGAGTTTGTGCACTGGGACCCTCTTTTCTGCCCAAACTGCAGAGAGAGTCCTGGAAAGGGAGAGCTGTGTGTGAAAGTGGCAAGGTTTTTGATCCTTGTTTTTCCTCACTCTTGCAATTGTTACTCCCTATGCATTGGGGGAATGAGAGAATGGTGGCATGTCCAGTGCAACGCCACTATTTCTTCCAGGGATGGGTTAAGGAGGTACTCTTACCATCTGCATCTACATATGTCCACACTCAGCTGAGGTAATTTCTGAAGCCAGGGAGCTGGGGGTCCTCTCTCTCTCCTTCCAGTTCAGCCATTTGGTGATGTGGAATTCCAGTGCCTCTTGTGATCAGCTCATCCTCCGTGGTTCTGAGCATGCACCCACATTCTAGAATCATTCTACAAGTCAGTACAATGTATCTTTCCAAAGAAAACAGAGAGAGGATGGAGAGGGGCTGCCACAAGGATGATGAACTTCCCACTAGGATGTGCCATTGGGTCCGTGCACTGTCCTTTTTTCTTATAATTTGTTTCTGCCTTTAACATCTAATCTCTCTAGGCATTTTTACTGCACTTGTTCCTGTGGTATCTGAGCTCCCTGGTTGGGAATTTTTCACTTAAACTTTTTTCCAGCAGAAAATGCTGATCTGTCAAAAACAAAACTTTAAAAAAAAATGCTAATCTGAATACTGTCAAATACCTGCTATGTGATCACATTGTTATGACATCACTACTTGCAAGTCTGCAATCTGGTACAGAAGAAAGAGAAATGAGAGGGTTTGGATCTTTTTTTTTTTTTAAAGTCTCCTATGAGATGGTGTCTCAGGAGGCTCAGCCAACACAGGAACTCAGCTGATTCTCAGGCTTTTCAATGGGTACAGGGCCGGCTCCAGGGTTTTTGCCACCCCAAGCGGCGAAAAAAAAAAAAAAAAAAAAAAGACCGCGATCGTGATCTGCGGCGGCAATTCGGCGGGAGGTCCTTCGCTCCGAGCGGGAGTGAGGGACCGTCCGCCGAATTGCCGCTGAATAACTGGACGTGCCGCCCCTCTCCGGAGTGGCTGCCCTAAGCACCTGCTTGGCAAGCTGGTGCCTGGAGCCAGCCCTGGAGGTGTGACAACATTATTTCATAGTAACTTCTCTTTTCCCAGGGCAGCTCCCATATAGAAGAGGAAACCTTGTGGTGTGGGTTTTTTTTTTCTTTATCTTAAATTGACCATCTCATCTGTAAGTTAAGTAACTTCTAGAGGGAGAAAATGTAAGAGTGCTGCTGTTTGTGAAAGCCTAAGTGGAAGTATTTTTTATTTGTGAAGTCCTTTTCTATCTTGAATCGAAACAAATGAAAACATTGCAATTGCCTAACACACTCTCACCTGCATTCTAGAATGTGTGTGACCAACTCAGGGATGGAGCCAGAAATCATAGAATCATAGAATATCAGGGTCGGAAGAGACCTCAGGAGGTCATCTAGTCCAACCCCCTGCTCAAAGCTCAAATCAACAACTAGCTTTCAGGGAAGCAGTGCTAGTCTTCTAATTGATACACTTCCATCTACAGCCCACAAAGCATATTTTAATCTTC